ATATTGCTTCGTATCATTTTCTTGCTTCTGTCCTTGCAATAATCCCTGGCTTTGCTAGGAAATGCTAAAATGTTGGAAAAATCGAGAACTGAGTGTTCGACTCCTTCGACTCACCCGGAGTCTCCAAGCACTCCAAATGAAATGTCACCTATAGTTTGAAATCGTCACCTTTCGATCGGTTTCATTCGTCCAAAGAACTAAACTTATGTAGGATCGAGATTTCACGTGCACTGCTCTCGCACAAGCATAATATGCAGCATTTCATAGTTTTGATATCTCCTAAGTCTGTACATAACATGCCAAGCATGTCCAGAATGAAACACTTTGCAAAACAGAAACGTCCATTACTGAGTAAAGTTTTCAGTTGTTTTAATTGCACGAGTTTCAATTGTTATTTCTTTCAAGTTCAGTCTCTGAGAGAATTTCATGAAGACGAACAACATTTTGTTGCGTTAAACCCTATATTGAATGCAGTTTTTATCAAAGTAGCTGTCATGTCACTACAATGCGTCATTTGTGAGCCGCCTAATTGTTTTATTTTACAGCATGTTCTTGTCATAGTCGGGGAAGACGTGGATGCTCTGTGTGCATACACTATACTGTCGGTCAGTCCTTTGCTTTGCTTAACTCTTTAATTTTTTGTATTCCTGTTCAGGTTATGTTACTGTTACGTAATAGTATACAATTAAACTGTTCTGCTCAGCAGAGAATTATATGTTTCATTTTTGTTTAGATGGACAGGTTACATCTCAAATTCAAATCGACATTATTTCTCAAATTTTGAGAGTGGGGATTCAATTTCCGAAATTGCAAGTGGCTTGAGATGACGACTAAACACTTGAATTGCCTTCCCTTTTGCTCATCAGTAGGGTAACGGATCGGAGCTGGAATGAAGTCAATTGTTTCATTAGTCACATCATGAAGTTTCAAAACCTAGGTTAATAACAACTAAATAGTCCCGCTTCTGGTATTTAGCGTACGTCTGGAAAAGCTCACGTAAAAAAGGCTAGAACAGTTAGACCATGATAGTTCAACTCTCGCAAATGTAACGAAACTAATCTGCCCGTATTTATTAAGATGGAAATATGACAAAATTGTATGTACATTACATTACTGTTGTATAGAATATATTCGTTTGCTGAGATCAACTATGACAATGGCGAGAATTATCCATAACGGTGACAGTAACATGAATAGAGGCACTTCCTTATGTAGTACGATCTTCGCAAACAGGAAACACTCGAATGTGATTTTCAGCAGAAAACCAACTGAAATTAACATTCTCGAATCGCATCACATACTCAATCCAAAGAATTTATGAATAGAATTGGTTGATTTCACTAGTTTTCCTTACCCATGAGAACAAAATTTCTATAAAACAGTGTAGGTGTCGCAACAATGCTGAGTGTAGGGCAAAACAATGCACAACCGAGAATCGAACCCGCAGTTCTTGTTTACTGGGTAGTACTGCTTCCACTACACAACAAGGGCCTTGTTTCACTCCAAAGGCAATGTCCGGGGTTTCTGAACGAAATGGAGCCCATTCCGAGAATTATGAAGTGGTAGGCAAGCGTAAAGCATCTACCCATTTTGGCGCCACCACTTTGAGCAGCAACCTTAGTAATGTCGTGTCGAAGACTATTTAGTGGGTGTGGTACAGTAGCCCAAAAGTATCACAAATGTGCCGTTGCCGCGTCTCGAAAGTGCGCGAGTTTGGCGCTAGGACTTTCCAAAGTGAACTTTTGGCGACTAATCTTATTTTACAGCGAAAAGCTACAGTTACATAAACAGTGCATCAAAAGCTATTAGTGTTCTTTTAACGCCAATTTACCAAATGCCATCCATAAGAAATCAACAAGAATGCTTTTTTGTTCGGATCACGCCAGGTCTTCACAGTTGCTGTGAATTGTGGCACTATTTTATTAAAAATCGATCACGATGTTTCTTGTTATTTACAAATGGGATAAATTTGAACGCTTGATGGATAAACGCTGTCATGGTGAGCAGGATAAGGAAGCCAGGATTTCTAGAAGTGGAAAACGCAGGGTTGTGGCGATCGCTTACTCTTTGATTGTATGCGTCACATTATCGTTTCCGCCCAAAGTATGGCTAAGTGGCTGAAGTTAGTGTTCGGGACAAAGAACACCGAATAATATTGATCAGTCTCATCTGCAACTGAAGAATTATAAGTATTTCATACTCACGTAGTTGCATGACCTTGTCGCGATGGTAATATAGATAGCTGTACAGATGGCTGTAGTTCTGAGGAAGTGAAAACGTTGTAGTCGATATCATTGACCAAAAGATAGATGATACGTATAGTATATCCGCTATTGCAAACAATACAAACATAAGATATGGTTGCTTGTCAAAGCCTCCATCCTGGAATTTGAAATTCATTTACCTTCCGGGAAAAATCCTAATCGTAAAAAAACCTAAAGACACTCAGATCCACAACCTTTCCCACTATTTTAAATAAAATAAATTTTGTAGCAGTCAATTTTGTAAACGACACCTAGGAAGGATACCAACTGTAATTTGAAATTAACCTAGCCACAATAAATTTAAATTGCTTACCAAATATATTACAACAGAAATGAGTGTGAGGAGCAATATAAACCACAATGTGATGCATCTATGCCCTGTTAGAACTGCCATCATGAGCCATTCAAAAAATCGGGTCCATCGACTTCAAGCTGCGTGCCAGGAATGAACCACTAAGGCGCCAATCGGAAATGCTGACGCAGATGCAGCGCAGCGTGAGGGGATGTGATGAAGACTCAGCAGTTTTGAAACTATCTGTAAGCCGGGGAGGTTTTGTTGGATACCAATACTACGAAGCTAAATTCAAGGAACATGAAATAGTTGATAGTATCGTGATGGGAAGGTTGCACATTTGAAAAAGGGAGAAATACAGATATTCTGAGCAAATGTTTTAATTTACGGCACTCAGGAAAGGGTAGACATTTACTTGCAAAGACGAGTGCTTGAATCCTGACCCTTTCCTTTTTCAATTCAAAATGAGCGGTTCAGCGGTGAAATTGAAGTGAGAGGGAATCGAGGGAGGGTCGTAAATGGCGGAACGCTCCAACCGCTTGTTGAAAAAATCTCTGGAATATGTTTTTTCTTGAATGTGCGCCCTATGAGAGAGCGGAGCTAGCTACTTGCTTATAATATTTCATTGGGTCGCCGTTAGACCGAATTTCTCATTATCGTTTCGAGGGGTAGTTCATGAAAACCCGTTTTGCAGTCGATTTTCTTCGAACGTTCGTGGGCAGCGTGAGGGTTCTACTCGTCAGTTTTTAGTCCCTACAGCTGATAATCTTTGACACCCCAAATTTCTTAACTCATCCGAGCGAGGGCGAAACTGGAATAACTAGGTCCTGGAGAGAAGGCTTTGGAATCCTCTATAGATTTTCTACATTTCAGCAGTTGTTCATTTGCGATGACGTCTCATTTTCTATGGTACCGGTTAGCGGCTGGGACGCATTGGATCGAACGTTTCGAGAGCACTATGATCAAAGTAAGGTGATGCTGGAAAATCTATGTTTTAAGAAATGTTCTCGTCTAAAGCTGAAGTGTTGATTCAGTTGAAATTCCTACTTTTAGGTCCCACCATTGTGCTGCTCAACTGCGGTGGCAATCGCTCCTTGCAAGATATGCAGATACCCGAAGGCAGTAAAGTGTTCGTAATCGATTCAAGGCGACCATTCCATCATGAGAACATCTTTGAGGGAGAACAGATTATGGTACTTGTGGATAGCACGGAGGTTCCAAAGCTTAAGTAAGTCTAGGAGAATGTGAAGATATTACTTCCTAGCGAGTCTGATTCCAGTATACCAGAAATGTCGTCTGTAATGGAAGATGATGAATCTGAGGAGTCGGAAGATGAGGACGGTGATGAAGAAGGTGAAGGAACAACACGGATGCAGAAAGTCGAACGAAGGCTTTTAAAGAAGGTAAATCCATTGTCTATGAACTTCACCGAAAAAATCGTTCTTCTTGTAGGAAGCGAAATCCATTGTCTATAAATTTCACCGAAAAGAATCGTTTTGTTTTGTAGGAAGCGAAAAAGCAATGGCTAAAGCGGCGGAAGAACATACTGTGGAAGTACTACGAGAACGCTTGGTATTCCATATCAGTGAGTTATTTCGAATGTCTGTCGCGTTGTACTATTACGTTATCATTTCTTCCATCCGGAGAGCATTTTTTCGAATAATAGAATATTTCTTCACATTTTCACTCCCGGATGTGATGAATTTTTTAGAGTGCAGTTCGAATGCTCGAATTATCAGCAGCACTGAACAAGGCTACACCAGAGTTTTTATGGATCGCTGCTGTTGGACTGAATAGTTCAGTGGGCGGACAAAGTGGTACGCTTCGATATGTATGAGGCTGTTTGAACTTCTATGTTGTTATACAAATTTCTTTATTCTTCTTCTTTCTCTACGTCGACTTACATCCTGGTAAGCGACAATATGCTGGTTGCAGATAACTATAGAAGCGTACCATGATGTATGCATTGATCGAATGCGTCCGTTCATCCACAGATTTTCCCCTCGTAATTCAGGAGCAAAGGCTGATGATTTGCTACGAGTTTCGTTCGAGAAAGAGTATGTTTCTTCTTCTTCTTCATTGCTCTATGGTTCTTTTCTGTATTTTGATTGCTGGGATTGCGCAGAAAGCAGAAGATACCTTTTTTTTTTCACTTTCTTTCGGAGAGGTAATATCAGCTTCGCTGGCTATGACTCCATTTGGTCAATTATATCGGGCTAGTGGCTGTTAACGAACATTTCGCTTTGTGTAAAAAGCAACGGACTCAAAAAGGCGATTCTTGAAGTGAACATTGCTTAGCGACCTTGGTAGACAATTTCATGAGATGAGCGCTGTGTGGACTGCGTCGTTGTTCAGGATTCTTCACTGACAACAAGATGGTCTTTTTGTTTTTTTTTTTCAGATTAACATTGAACGAAACTCGACAGAAGTTTGAGGCGATGAACTCGGTTCGACGAAAGGAGGTTATACAAACATTGGGAAAGAATGCGGTGCATTTTGGCCTCGGTACGAGGATTGGCAGCTAGGTGACTTCTTGTTGTGTGCTCATTCGTTCCTCTTAATTCATTTCTGTCTTTTCGTAATCGCTAAGCCACTAATTTATTCCAGATTAGAATCACCGCGACGAATACCCTTAGTGGAACGGTTTGAGTGTGCTCGCGGTATCTTGCGATGTTTCATGAAATCCCATCAAGATTATGGCCCGCTAGTCAAGTGCTTCGATCTGTACAAGGTGACTGCGGATTACCCGTTTGGATCAATATCCCTTTGTACAGCTTATATGGTTTCAATATGAATTTCTGCTTTAGATCGGTCTCGAAACCGTGTGGTCCCTAGTAGCAGCCGCGGTGAACCAACAAGGAAGTTCTACCCATAGGACCATTTTTCCTGCACACGTCAACGAACCCTTGTGGTGAGTGACTTTTGTACTGTACCTGCGGGAAACATCTTGAAATTTCATTTGATATGTTCAGATGATATAATGGACTCGCGGCATTTCATATTCCTCTTCACAACATTCCTACAGCGTGCGTTCTGTTCTGTTCGACGGAGTCGTGATAGAACCACTAAACCCTTTGTAGTGAGTTTGGCATTATCAGGAGATATGCAAGGATGGCATATTGTAACCGGAGTGATGCCTCTGGATACTGTGTACACAGACGCACAGTTGATGAGGTGAGGTTGAAGAAAAGAAAAGAAGAGTATTCAAGTCATGTTCGTGATGACATAATTGAAAAACAATTAGAGAAGTAAACGGGGAGTAAGCGACTATTACAAGTGGAGCTCTGTTATGTGGTTGTTCTAGCTGTACATGACCGTTGATATTGTTTATTCCTTCCCCTTTTTAATGCAGTAAGCCCGATTATACAGCTGCATTTACAGTTTCATGGGTCGAGCATTCGAAAGAGCCGCTGAGCAAGCACATTTGGATGTGCGACGGGACAATTTTGATCCTAATGGTAGTTTCTTCTTGTCTCTAGTTTTTCACCCGTTTGAGAAAAGCTTCATGTTTTCAGTAATATTAGTACGATCAGAAGACCGTTCACGTTTCTTTGACTTGTTACAAGCCGTCATG